GGCACTTTCAAAGGCACGCAGTGGACCACAGCACAAACAAATAGCCATCTTTCTGTATCACCGTTGACGTATGTTACATAACTGCACACTCATTTCATGTAAACGGGAATCAATTAAATATATTTCCGCTCTTCCAACACGTTCATTTCAATTACTCTACCGTTGTTGAGAGTTTTTGATAGTTTATTTTGCTCAGAGTAGGCCGCACGGCGGTAGTAAGGGCTAGGCAGCCGGGTCTGTGTTTTTCGCGGATCTTTAGATTGGCGCTGATTTCAGTACACTTTTTTCTCAGTGTGTGTGTATGTGCGCGATTCTTTGATTTGCTGCTGGCGGAAACTGCAGGCTCCTTTTTCTCAGAGTGTGTCATGCTGTGCTGTGGGCGGTGAGGGCTGACCAGGGGGGCTGTGTGCGCAGTTCTTTGGGCTCCTGCTGGTGCTGCTGGGCGGCGCCGTGGCGCTGACTGCAGGAGCGCTGGCGACGCGCGTGCAGGTGCTGTCGGGGCTGCAGGAGCGCCTAGGGCAGCAGCTGCCGCTGCGCTACAACTCGCTGCGGTCCGACAACATCTCCTTCAGCGACGCCGTCGACCTCGCGCAGTACAAGGTGCGTTGGCCTGTGCGCTTTTGCGGCATCTGGGCTGCATGACCGGGAAAGCATTTTTTCACACGTATTGTCTCACACGTCTCAGCCGCCAACCGTGCGACGCCAGTGCGTGTTGGTATGCGGACGTCTCAGGGGAAAAGATGCGTTTTCCCTTACAGAAAGACGAACCCAACGCTGAAGAATCTAAGATCCTGAAATAATTAATGATCGCTACTTGCCTTGATTCTCTCGACATGTTCCTCTCGTTTATTTACTTTTTTCTGGAACATACTGTTTAATTAGGAAATGTCCCTCTATATTAAAATAGTTTCAATGGTTTTGGGCGAAAAACCTGTGGAATTCCATGATGGGGTACAGAGAAAGAAATAATCATCTACGATGTAGTAATTATATATTCTTCAAATGTTAACCAGAAGTTGAGAAAATATTTCCTCAACTCTAGTGGTTTTATACAACCAAATAAAGTGGACGTTTCTTTCCAACGCGATATAACTGAAGATGGGGAAGTAATCACTGGTTCACACAATAGGTTCAAATTTTATGGATGTCTGATTTTTTCAATGCATTGTGAAACATATTTTCTTTCACCATTTCTTTTAAGTTTGTTATAACTTTTGTATTTATGTCACAAAGAGTGGCGAAAGATCATCCATCTCATAATAAGTTTGGACTCTTCTAATTTATTGTACTAACGTGAAGTACAAATAAAAGAAGATAGCGAACGGCAACACAAACCTGCTGTCGGAATGACGTCGTACATGAGACTTTTTAGGCGGAGTTGACCCATCACTACGCGAGTCCAAATTCATGACAAGGATCGAACCTTAAACCTGTGGTCAACGTCAAACATTCTTGAAGGTGTTTATCGCATTTGATTGAAAAGAACTTTCATTGACGATCTCTTTTAAAATCCGATTATCTCTAAGCTAAGCTCAGCTCAGCTATAAGATGCGATTGACTCTAAGCGTGATAAAGTTCACGACCAACCTCCGGCGATCGCCCTTCGTGTTTTATGTAAAACGTTCTTGAGTCTGCATGACGCATAATTACGAACGCATTCTATACCAAGATATATTTTAAATTGAAACACGCCATACTCATTTCGATTATGATACAAAATGTCCTCATTCACACTACTCGCTCTTCGTTTTCGTTCAACAAATTTCGCGACGCCGAGAATCATTTCGTGAAGGGAGTGTTCAATAAGTGATAATACAAAACGTACGGTATGGCGTTTTTACGAAACGCGAGAGATATTTCAAAAATCAAACTGTGTTAAGGCTTCAAAATTGTTACTGGCAATTTTGGGAGATTAGAAAGATGAAATATGGTCCACCGCGTGTCAAAACAAGGTTAACCTCATCCGCGACTAATGATTACGGCTCCTGAAATACAAGTTACGTTTTCAGCACATTCAAGCTTTAGAATCTCGTTTCATACACTACATACCTTGAGGGCAGTATTATATGTCACCTGTTTGGCGTTATATTCACGTGCTTTTATTAACTCTCCGCATGGATCTTGTCAGCTAATCTCGCGTCTGCTTTCTGCCCGCGGTTCCAGCATTCATCGACGCAGACTCGAATTTTAATAATCCACTGGGTTGTGTGGCGAATAACAAACTCTTGTTACTAGGCGAAATGTCTTTAACGCTATCAGTGGAGGTAAAATATATTAATTTATCACACGCAACTGTGATTAAAAAATATATATATTTCTTTGAAGGGGTTCAGTAGCCTAGAAGTAGTAGTTTTTACATCGGTAAAATCTTCCAAATTACTGATATTAACAACTTACAATTTGAATGAAATTTTATTTCATAGACTAATTAATTGAATTATGTGATTCATTCATTGATAAATGACAATTGTTTTTTCAACAATAATAAATAGGTACATTTAGTCAATGTGTCACTATGAATGCAACCCATTTGTTAAAATTAAATACTCAACCTTTTTTTTATTTCTTGCTTGCTTCTTGTTTTCAGAATAAATTGCATTGTTTATCCAGTTCACACTTCACTACAAACAGACATGAATGTTTATTTCATTAGAAATTGTACGTCTGTGAAACTACACGGGAGATAGCTTCTGGACGTGGGTTTCATTCAGTCCTTCATTCCAAATGTAGTCAATAATTTCAGTTAACAGTGATGCAAATGTTTCTTCAACCCTCCAACACACAAAAATTTTCCTATTCAATTAAATTAAACAAAACGTACCCTCTGCGTTCACTTCCCAGCACTAGCATTGGATTGCGATTTAACAAAAATTGTAGTAAACTGACGTTTTTCCAGGATTTGACTTCCTCGAATCCGTAGCGTCTCTGCTTCCCCAGTTGCCCGTCTGGCTTGGTCAGTGCTGCGCTCTGGCGGCGCAGAGACATACTGTTAGTTTAAATGTAGTATGTGATTTCGCGCTTTTTCCTCTGCTTTCAGTGCGATTTTCGCAGAAAAATAACAAAAGCAATAATAAAAATCTGTAACTGAAAAATGCACGTTTATACTGAATTTCCCACACGGCGGACAAGGAGAAAGCCATAATTTTACAAAGCTGCGAATGTAGAATGCGTAGCGCAACCGCCCACGGAGCGCTGATGTGCGTGCGTGCGTGTGTTCCAGCTGCGCTGCTGCGGGGTGCGCTCGTTCGCCGACTACGAGAACTCGCGCTGGTGGAACGAGAGCCGCAAGTCGCCGCAGTTCTCGCCGCCCATCGTGCCGCCCACGTGCTGCACGCTCACCAACGACGAAGTGGCGCACTCCGGCAGCCCGCTGCGCGTCGTCTCGCGCGTCTTCGGCGGCACGGTCAGCGCCTTCTCGCACTCCTTTGTTTACGCAACGCTGGTTGACACTCGAATGGGATGATTACGTCGAGTTTGGTAACCGAACCGGCTTACATGGCGCAGGGCATCGATTGATGTTACTAAAGCCTCTGACCGGGAGGTCCTAGGGTTCGGTTCCCACCAGTGTCAGGATTTTCGACACTAGCTACGTAGCTGAGTCAGTTGCGGTATGGAGGAGAATTGTAGCGGTCGGCTGCTCTCATCTGTACTTTTATGAGGTTTCTCCGATCAACACCAGGCGAATACCGCAGCAGTTCCCTAACAAAGACACCACGTACCGCGCACGATCTTTCCTTCATCTTCCCTATCCTCATCTCTCATTTACACACTTCGACTCAATGCACGACACTATCACACATGTGCCGAGAGCTTAGAGCTTGTCCCAGCTTGGGCAGTGCCCGCTGGGAGAGATACTTGGCAACCTCGCAAGCCGACGTGTATGTCGGCGCCAGATATTGCCATCCGGCGGGGAAGTTCACCGCCACCATCCTGCGATAAAAAATGCACTACACTTACGGGAATAAAGACTTATGCTTTGACGCGCCCGGAAACGCTTATAAATCAATTGATAACTAATTACAATATTAATAAAACCTGTTCACACATTACATGGAATTGATAATTTTCTTGTTCTCTACATAAAATGAATTCTTTAATCTGGGTGTGAAAAATATGATGATACTTTGTCTCTGCTCAAAAAAAAAACACAACCAAAAATTGGCATATTGCAGAAAAAAAATTCTGAGCGGAGACATTTATCATGCGACCGAAGGTAGCATTTTGAACTCAATATAACGGTTATCTTATTAAACTGTATTTACCGGTTGTATATTTTTGTGAAATTTCCCCGCAAAAAAGGATGTTCGTGGCATATCTTTTCAATTAATTGAAAAACTACGGGTTCTGAAGCGTCGTGTTTCTTGTCCGCCGGGGATTTGTGCCTGAAGCGCCCTTCGCTCGCCCTCAGGTGGAGGAGCCGTGGCAGCACCCGAAGCCCAAGGACCCGAACGCTTGCCAGAGAGAAGACGCCCCGGAAGACATTCGCCACAAGAAGGTACGCTCTCACGCACGCTACTCTTGCTTCACGCAACAGTTCAGCATAGAGAGTAGGGCAAGGGTTCTCAAATTGCGGTATTTCTCGGAAAGCTTGCAATTGTACGTGAACAATTTCCATGAGAAAATTTAAGAATAGAAAATAAAACTTAATACAAGCTTTAATAACATTTACTAGTTTAAAGCAAATACCTATGAGAACATAGATATCAGAAATAATTAAAAAATAGATTAACGAGAACGAACCAAAGGTTTTCAAGAACGCTAGGGTTTTGTGTTAAACCACGAACTTTTAGATTTAATGGAAGATTATGACCGATGACAGGCGTAAATTAACATCGAGGACATTTAATGAAAATATTTGGTGATGGCTGAAGTTTCAATCACCCGTCGTTTTACGTTCTTGCACTATCTTCGTAAAAGCCGAAAGTATTGCGCCGGAAAACCGGAAATTTTCGACATAAAAACTTTATTGCCGAGCCCTGGTTATGAAAAGTGGATATATGATTATCATATATAGTATATATGATAATCATATAATATTTAATATATATATATATAATCTAACAATTTGTGGAGTCCGAATACATATTTTGAGGGGTCCTTGATACCGAAAAATTGATTGACGTCAAATCGTCCGTCTTCTGTCCGCCCATCCGCGCATAAACCTTTTAACCGATTCTTTCCAAAACTGAGATTTTTTATCAATCTGAACGAACTCGAGGTTTTGCGAGTTTAAAACGGATATTTTGGATTTTGATGGTACTTTACATGAAGCCTCTATATTTTCAAACACATAGCTTCATTTTTTATCATTCTTTTTGTATTTATTACGTTTATTGAATTTCATTAATAATTGAATAATATCTTGTCATATAAAATATGAAAGAATTATTTAAATTTTCCACGAGAATACACGCGAAATCTACGGCTAACAAATAGACTATTCCAATCGTTAAAGATTTTCTTGAAAATCACACAAGTGCACATCTAAATGTGAATTATAAGAAAAGTACTTCCATTAACTTGGAAAAGTAATTTGAGAGCTTTCCTTGGTTAATTTTGGCAACATAGTGCCAACCTCCGTTGTTTAACTTCTTGACGGTATTATTTCTCGGAGTTATATTAATTGGAGAAGTATAGCAGACTAATATGTTAATATACTAGATGGATAGTGTGACTCGAAAAGAGTACAGACCTTTTTAATTTTTAAAACGGATGTACAAAAGTAAACTGACTCCCATCAACTATGAGTGTATCATCTAGTAATTAATCAAAGTATCTCAATTCATTTGACAATGAGATAATATCATTTATGTGATAACGTTATTAATTTTATTTGGCAAAATATTTATCTTGTAATTTTTGTACATTTTCTTACTTTCAATCCCTAACACCCTTAGGAATAAATTTTCGATATAATGTAATAAAAAAATATTAAAAAGATTCAAAATTAAATATTAAATGGTATAAATTATTAAAAATAAAGTGAGAACGGTTGCAATATAGTTATTTACATCTCGTTGTTGGAATGTAGTATGTCACCAATGACAATTATTTCAGGATGGGACTAAAATAAAATTATGTCACTTCTATGAATTGTCATTTCAAATCACCTAGACGAATAGTACAATGAAAATTTCCCAATCATACCGGGAAAGCATTTTCTCGTATTTATATTCTCTCTGAATGCTCATGGATGTGTTAATTGCCACTTTTTTCTGCTGCATATTTTTTATTCCGAACTCTTCCTTCCGAACGTTTATATTAATGTAATTGCATAACAATCAAGAGATGGGGACTAGTGAATATGGATGAGCTCCACCGCGCATATTAATTTCCATTCCCATCCCGCGCACGTCGTGTGATCGGACGTTCATTTTCAGGGTTGCGCCGCGGGACTGTCGGCGTGGTACCAGCAGGCGACGGTGCTGCTGGTGGCGGCCGCCGTGGGAACCTCTCTCTTTGGAGTGAGTCGCTGGTTGCGCCAAAGTAACCATATTTAAAGTACTTTTATGTCCAGTCATTTTAAAGATAAAATATCTTAAGTTAAGTTTTCTTAACAACTTCATATTTTAGTTTAGAAAATTTAAGACACTTCAAGAGAGTGATACTAATTATATTTATTTTGATTGAAAAGTGTGATGTTCTGATTTCATGTAGCATTGTAATACTTGTATGTTTCGTGATTTGATGTCATTTTACAAACTAAATGTGAAAAGCTTAGGAGTAGACAATGATAAGATATTCAACAAGAAAAATTGAGATATTTATCTTTTTCGTTTCTGCTAGACGTTAGAAAGCTACTGACAAAGTATTGTAATACAATACAGCAATATATGCAGTATTTTTTATATAATAATTACCTTTTAATGTTGATCATCTGTTTTACACAATTCTTTGAACTTCCAATTGCTTCCAATGTAAAATTCACTTATACTTTGATTTAAACGTAGTGGCGCACAACAATGTATTAAAGTCACGTGCTGGAAGGTGAGAGGGACAGTGACATCCAATCAGGAGCTTCATCACGACTTACATTTTTGGTAGTGAAGCTCCTCATTGGACGACAGTGCCCCCCTTTCAACCAGCTCGTTTAAAACGAAGTGAAGGGTGGCGTCTATTCATAAGCGCCTCTTATATAAAAATGTATGTAGATAGTATTTAGACAAATGTGTGTGTATTTGTTTCAGATTGAATTTTAAATAACTGCACAAATTGCTCTCAAATTTTGAGCGATAATGTTTGGGAAGTCGGGGTAAAACTTATTCAGAATAAGTATCCCAAAATGTCCCCCCAAATTCGGTTACACCATTAAATGTTAGTAGAAGTTATGCAATTCGCAAAGCATCAAGGACGCATTGTTGCCGAATGACGCGGGGCCGGGCCGGGCCGGGCCGGGCCGGGCGGAGCGTGCGGCGCCAACTAGGCGGCAGGGAAGAGGGGAAAACAGGGGCGGGTTGAAGGAGAAGAGGGCTGTTGTAGATCGTTGCGATAAATTAATACCTTGGCAATTAACTATGGAATTATTTATCCGGAAGGGGTTATGTGCGATTACCCTACCTACTTGCGTTACGCCCTTTCATCACATACCAGCGGGCCAATTTGAAACAAACGCTTGACGGGACTCGGCTGGCAAATGAGAAGAGACGCAGCTTAGGTATTTTAATTTCGTACTTCAGTCAGTATTTTACGGCAGTGGCTTAGCATGACACGGATGTACATAAAGTAGGCAATAACAGCATAATTGTATACAGTGTTTTAAGTAAAATTTATTATTAATCACCTGAATTCACCTAGATCTCAGATGGCATTTACCTTGTCATTTCTTGTATACAAGCGTTTCTAATGTATTATAACAGTTAAAATGAATAAGTACTGCTATTTCCTGAATTGGTATTCACATTGGATTCCTGCAACCGCATGTATCTGCACTCAAAGGATACACAAAAAATGTGCCGAGCAAACAATAAATTGCGAGTTATGCCGGGCATGTTGAAGAAAACTGCAATACGTGCGAAAAGTATTGTGCACAGTCTGCGTTGGCTTATCGTCTCTGTCGACTCTTTTCATATCTCGTGCATGAATTTTACACTTTTCGCACTTTATTGGGTTACTAGATAACGGTATTACTCTGCAAAACATATAATCGACCCTGCAGATTCAAACAAATTTTAAATCCACCGTGCACACTGTTTCTTATCAAACAGTTTAAAATGCACATTTAGTCAAACAGTTTCGTTCTGCCTCTTGTGTTTTAGTAAACGAAAGAAGTTGTAGAAAAGATGTAAACATGAAAAATCCATCGGTAAGGATAGTTTTAGCGCAATCAAATTTGTAGATAACAAAAGCGTTTACATGAAAGCACGAACCATGATTGAGGATATTTTTCATTTACTTGAAGCTGTACTCAATTTTTATTTGTTTCGCAACGGCACTGCTGCTCCAACTACATTAATATTTCTTGTTATGATTGGAATTATCCAACTTTAATATTAACCTTAAATCATGATATCAAAATGAGGAAAGTCGACGATGTGTTTGCAGGTGATTACGACCTCTGGAATGCAATTTGGGTACGCCCCCTCCCCCCCCATTAAAACCTCTATGAAACCGGAAACACCAACGCAAAGTTCGGTTTCACTTCTCCGACGGCATCGGGCTCAGAAACACGCCCTGTCTCTCTAGCGGTAAAATCGAACTTCTAAATTGGCGCGCTTTGGGTCTAGGGAAAGCAAAGGCCAACTGCTGTAGAGACGTTGTCCAGAGGTCTCGACGAAGGGAGCGGGAGCTTCTATTGACATTTTTGTATACCAGCATTACAAACTGCCTTTCCCATTAAAATAAATCGTTCTGAAAAGGGCATCTTATGCACAAATTTAAACATATTTGCTGTTTATGACACAAATAACTACGACATTACAAATTTAACCAATCACGGAGTGAGAATAATGAGGAGGTAGTGGTAATCCGAACAGCCGACAGATATATCCGTGACATCAGAATGAAGTTATTTTCAAAAATTAACTTTAATTCTCGTATAAATTTATAATGCTAATGTACAAAGAATACCGTACGCAACTCGTTTATAATTTTGTTATATTGCATTCGTAAAAAATTGAAAACTTGCTTCTAACGTTGCTCATGTTTAAAACATGAGTACTGCAATAAAGATTACATTTTAAACTAGTAGCATAAACCATTATTTACTCCTCATTTCTTTATTCACTATGATATCCCAACGAAATATATTATGTAAATGTATATGCCAACAATGTATTCATATCGATGTCTTCATGTCTTGTGTTTTGTACACTAGCTCTGATGAAGAAATTAAAAGATTCCAAAACGCTGGCAAACTAATTGTTTCTACTCCGACCAATCCCGTGAACTACATCCCTCACTACATAAAGGTTGTGAATTCTACAATTGAATTGAATTGAATTGAATTGTTACCTTATTTTACGTGGTACTAAGCCCGCTCTTCCGTCTGACCACGCAAACTATGCTACGCGCGTTTCACTAACTTTCGGAGAAAGGAGGTATTTCTTGGGCGACGAAACAGGCGATTTGAATTTAGCTCAGAAGCATTATTTAGGCTTGAGGATCTTTTACATGCAAGTAAATCTACTAACATGGGACAGCCAGCTTTACTTCCCCTTCAAAGGAAGGCTGACGAAGGATTTTTCCGCCCTTAAAAATCCACGGCATCGATCGGCTGTGAACCCGCAACTTGGGTATAATAGTCCGATACGCTAACCATTACACCATCGCCGCCATCAATGTCAACGAAAGCTATAAATATCTATACCAATTACCAGTTTAAGTAAATCTATCTATACCACAATAAAGTTTAAATGAAATATTGTAGTATGCACGAAAGGATGATATCTTGTATTCTTTGAATTAGATTCTTTTTAAGGAGACGTAAACAAATTATAAGAGAGACACACGAGCGTTGTAAAGAGTGCAATAGCGAGAAGTGTACTTTCGCATCTACAATTACATGTTAGGGACTGTTTGCTGAAGCAAAGGAAAACTTTTTAGTCTTTAACAAAAGAGATTGTTTTTATGAATTACTAGTTCATTGCTGTGCGTTTACAGATCGGAAACAAAATACGTTACGGTATTGTTAACACTCTAGCAGACCTTTCTAATCCTTTATCCACTTTGGTTAGGTGAAGTCAAATATTATGCCATTATAATGAAATGTTTTGAAATTAAGTACTTTACCGCCCTAGAAATAGAGTACTTTGCCATCTTCTTTTGAAAATATTTTGGCCTTCTTCGAGTTGTATCGTACTCCTTTCCCTATTAAAACGTGAATAACTGAGTAAACTTAGTGATATTAATGTTGTCTTGGCTGTCAGGTATATAATAATGGACGCGTACCATCGCGGAGTCAATGTCCTGAGGAAGACTGCGTCATGACAGGCGAAACGTCGACCTCTTAGCCAACGACGTGGCGTCACCCGGACAACCAAAAAGAAATTGACTCGAGCTGCGGAAGCTTACGTGTACATTTGATAAGCGATATTGTACTCTTTAACATAGAGTAGTGGACCAAAGACTTCTTGGTTTCTCCTTCTCTGACTTGCCAGAAAAGTAACCAATCAAAAATGTTTCAGACATCGAATTAACTTTTTTTTCACACCATTCTTTAAAAATTACATATTCACGCTCATATTTATTTCTTGATTTGTTGGGTAACAATGTTCCTAAAGGAGCAGTTGCTGCTATTTCTACTTCAATTGTTCACCTTATTGAGAACAGTGTCGCCCCTTATGGGAGAAAACATGTGAATATTAATTGAAGGCGTAGAAAAAAATTTCTCATTAAACTTAACTAACTTTTTAAAAAAGGATAAAACGTATGATATTCGTGTCATACGTTTCATTTCAATACTGAATAGATCACCAAACTTGGCATAACAGCCTTGTTTCTCAATTTTCCAATCTCGTATGGTAATCAGATGCTTTATGACACTTATATCGTGAATAATTATTATGCTTTCGGTTCTTTTTAACACTTTATGGCCCACTCTAATACCAATACAACACATATAACATTTTTAAGAATTTGACTTATTAAAGTTAAGATGCAAACAAATACAATAAATAAATGGCATAACGCACTAATGACTGAAATAACTTGTTCTAAAACTTATTTTGCTTAATTGATATGAAAATTGCTAATTTGGAATATTCCTGTGAATTTCTAATTGCCACCAGTAACTTATATTTCACTGTTACTTATCACCCTTTTTTAAGAGACACGTGCTTCTTGAGTAGCAGTAGTACTGGTAGTAATAAGATGTATTAGTCACATTAGCTAACATCCTCAAAATGTTATTTTTTGATGTTATGAAATATTCTAAAAAACTTTTTGGCAATAGAGGCAAATAATTTAAAAATATCGTTTTATCAGCGCAATTCACGCTGTAATTTTCCATATAACTCTGAAATACACT